CTCTGCTGCCGTCGGGGGCAGCTCCTCGTTACAGCCCGATAGTTTTGTGTCCGCCGTACCCTAAACATCAACTCCCGGTACCGATTCTCTGCCTGAACAAAACACGCTGGTTCCCCCGTTCGTCCCTGCTATGGAGTACGGGAAAAGCTACCGGCCCGCCCGGTAAGGAGTGAGACTGCTGGGTGGTGTGCAACCGCTTTGGACCACAGTCATCTGCTTGAAAAGTAAAGCTTCCAGTGAAAGGGGGGAAGCTAACTGTGACGCCGCCAGTGAAGGACTTTCTCCCAGTGTTGCATTTTACAGGGCCTTTTTCTGGAGGACCTTGGTGAGGTCTTGGGTGGGCTGGAGTGAGACGCAGACAGAAATGGGATGAAACTCGCTGCACGATGGGGAGCAGCAACTGATGTTTGTCTCCATGTTTGCCCTTCTGTCTGATCTTGGTGTCCCCCAGAGCTTCAGATGCCAGCCAAACCTCGTGTTCACACTGTGGTCACCAACCGCGTTAGCAGCGGCTGCTCCTGAGTCCCAGTGACGTTTTATGAATTCAGGTCTTCCACAAGGCATTTGCCTTCAGAAATCAAGACTTAGAGCTACAGGTTGAGAATTACACGGGCTTGTTGCTCTTGTAATGTATCTTGGAGGTCTCTGAACAGGACGCAGCCTTGGAGAAGTGAAGTCAGTTTGGTGAGGGGAGGGTAACCACCCACCCCCTGCTCCCTAACCTGCTCTGCCCAGGTCAGAGTGGGCCCCAGAGCGCGTCCTTGCTGCTATCACATTGGCTCTTGGGCTTGTGGTATAACTGGGCCGGGGCAGACATGGAACTGCTGTTCCCATGCCAGCACTACTACCGGGAAGGGGTTCCTGAAACTTTAAAGTGGCTTAGGAAACCACATCCAAAAAAATAGCGTGAAAAGCACAAGCTTAGCACCTCTCCAGATAAAGCCACCTCACGCTGGTTCCTGGCAGATCGTCTTGGCATTACAGACCCCAGCCCTGGCAGCACCTGATGAAAGCCCGACTAATCTCCCATATCCCTGCTGTGTTTGTGACCTGTTGGGTGGCCCCCAAGTTCAGTCAGCAAAGGAGTGCAAGCAGCCATGGCCAGAACAATGCTGTCCAGTTGGCGAGGCTGAGGGAGGCCTCGTTAGAGCTCATTTGTACTGATTACAGATGATCCTCCCTAATCTTTCAAGATTTCTCAGCTTAAACTGTGATGCACTTGGGTCAGGAGCACAACTTCAAAGCACGTAAATGCTTTGTGTGTCACCAGGTTACTGTTATGAGCTCCGAAAGTGAAGTGAGAAGAGGAACAGTGTGAAGTGAGAAGAGGAACAGTGTGACTCAGCAGGCCGAGGAGACAGCCAGGCCTGAGGTTACAAACAGCAATGTCCATGTGTGCGGATTTTGTGTTTCCAGTCCTGAGACCCACTGAGGCAGCAAAGGTCCCACCAAGGGCCACACACAGTCCTCTGTGTGGCCCAGGTGGGCTGAGGCAGCTGGCCCTGTTGGCTCCAGGGTCAGCAGGGCTTTTGCAGGTCTCACGCAAAAAATGGCCGTGGGGGCCCAAGTGTTGGCTGGGCAGAACCTGACTGAAACCCAGCTGTACCTCTCGGTGAGCTGGGGCGGGAGCGTGGGGCTCACAGTGGGCCCTTCGCTGTCTCAGTGGACACGAGAACCATGCAGCGGTGACTGGGGCTTTGTTGCAAATCCAGCATCAAACTGCTCAGCCCAGACTGGACGTGCCTGTGAGCAGGAATTCAGACGTGAAGGGGTTTACTAGCTAATGTTTAGGTATGACCAAGATAGGTCCCTCAGCTGAAGGGGACTCTTTGGCCCCAGAGGTGTACAAGGGCACCTGGGAGCTGACCCAGCTTATCCCCTGCCTTGGGAGTGTCACCAGGGGCTTTCATGGCTGTGCCAGGCCTGGGATTTCTGTTGAGGGCTCCCAGGGCTCCTGCACATCTCATAGCAAAATATCAGCAACTCTTCCTTGAAAAGGAAGAATCCCCCTCCTTGAACAGAGAGGAAAACGCCTCTGTTTTCCCTCCATCCAAGAACTCAGCCTTTTTAGAGGGCAAGGCACTAAGCACATCTTCTAATGTGTGATTATTTCCCAAGAACCAGCAGCCCATCATGAAGCAAGAGGGATTAACTGAGCAGCAGTGAGTGGGGGGGGGATAGTGGCTGTGCTCGGCTGGGTGCAGGAGGAGCACTCGCTCATGGTCTGGCCGCGGCGGCTGGCAGAGGACAGCAGACATGCTGCAACGGCCCACGTCTGCGATGTCCTACACTGATCATTACTGCGGTCACCAGCAACTTGATGCCAGCTCGTGCCCCAGATGTCAAAGGCTCTGTATCCTGTTACTAATCCATTGAGCCATCAGTCCCTTGATACAGGCTGGATTTACACCAGTAACCTACAAGTGAAAGGCTCAGGGTTGTCTTCTCAATCTCTTGATCTCTCCCTGTCCCCAGCAGCTGTGCTGAAATGACTTTTCATCTTGAGTCAGTCCTGCCTGGCCTACAGCCCTGATCATTTACAAATGGTGTGGGGCACGTGTTTTGGGCATTAGCCATTTCCTGCAGGGAAAAAAGATCAGGATTTGGGATGTCCAAAAAGAGCAGCAGAGATGTGTGGGTCAGAAGCAGACCTCACAGCTAACAAGACATTTAAGACATCAGTGTGAGCCAGCCCCACTGCCTGGGCCAGCTCCCAAACCTACGGGGCTCAGGTGCCCAGAGGGGACTGGCTCTGCCCTGCCATGCGGAGCTACTTGGAAGACTCCCTTGTTCCAGATTGGAGATGAGAGCAAAAGGATTATCTCTGGAATTAGATTATTTAGATTGGAGCTTTAATCTCTGACCCTGTGTGCACAAGAAAATGGTAAAACTCCCTGGGATTATTTGTGGTTTGTCATGCAAGTAAAACCAGGCTTGCTGGAAGGAAAAAAGATGAATGCTTTGAAGACCTGCCCTGTCTGACCTGTTCCCTGTATCGTGGTGAGACCTGGCAGAAAAGAGCTGCAGATCATTTGGCAGACACCCAGTTTTCCTCGTAAGTAGCTGTGGCTCCAGGACTGTCTCTGCAGTGACACAAAGGTGTTCTGCAGCCACCCTTCCCCTAGCACTGGTGTCCTTGTGTTTCTTGGGAAGACAAACATAGCTCTGCCAGGGAACAAATACAGGCACCTGCCCAAGTGAAAATGAGAACATCCCCAGCCACCGTGAAGCTGTGCTGTAGATCAATGCAGCATCTAGAAATGGGTTTACAATTCTAAATACATTAAGACCATGTCCTGCCATCTGCTGCTGTGGGCAAAGGACGCGGCTGCTGGGTGCAGGACCCGGGAAGGAGCAGGAAGAGGCAGCCACCACGCTTGTTACCACTGACTGTTGTCAGCCTTGTGCAAGCTGGCTACGGCACAAGGCGCATCCCCCAAGCATCACCAGTCCCCACAGGCAGGCACAGGCACTCTGCTGCAGACTGGCCAGCAGCGCGCCTGTCCTCTTGCTCTGTTTACACACACACACGCTGCTTCCTCAGCAGGCCCTGCTCTAAGTGGGGCTCATTCATGTACCAACACTCCCTGTGGCAGACACAAGCCTGCACAGGTCTCCCTCCTTCCCCACTATTAGCCTAAGTACACCTACAATTTACCAGGACTCTGGACTCTGTTCAGTTTATCACCCTCATCTCCTAAGCACAATACAGCTGCTCTGCCAGTGAATCTGGAGATCTGTAAATATCCATTTTCCAATTTCTTGGCTCACACCCACATTTCTAAGACTGGACCAGCTCCATAGATACACACACATGGTTTGCATACACCCACTTGCAAACAAACTCTTCTGCTGCACTTCCAGGTTCCTATCTGCACTCCCTGCTTTTATGTGCACACACACAAACCTCTCCCAGTGCACACGTCTGTGCAAACAGGAGTATACACACACACAAATATAAGGAGAAACAGTTTTTCCCTTGATGGGATGTCAGCCATTGCTGCAGCTATGCTGGTTGGCACAGCAGAAGAGAAAATCCTCCTTTGGGACACAGATTTGTGGACCCCAAGAATTTGAAAGGGAACCTGGGAAGTGAAAGATTTGAGATGGAGGAAGCAGGAAGATGTTGGTCCTTAATCTCGCAGTTGGTGGAAAGGAACAGTTGAGAGGAAAACAGCTCCTGGTTACTTGGAGAAACGCCCAGCAATGACGATGCCCTTTGAAGCCTAACCTTTCTCTGCATAGAGAAAGGGGGCAACTGCAGGTCTGGCAGGGAAGGAAGTAGGAGGTTGGGAGCATCTTGAGGAAAGGGGAAGGAGGATGACCATGTGATTATCTGGAAGCAGCTGGTAGGGCCTGGAGGCTGCAGTTGTCACTGCTGCAGACACGTGCAGCATTTTGGAGTGTGAACACACCTGAGAGAAGGACACTGCCACACAAGGAGGCTCCCGGCCAACCCCCAGCACCAACGGTGCTGCAGCTCAGCTCCCGCAGCCCAGCCTCCGCTCCACTGACAGTCATGTTTAAAATGGTTTGAAAAGGGGTGGCTGGCTACTGCTGCCTATCCCCCTCCCATGCAGCTCCCCTCTGTGCCCCTTCTCCCACTGCTCCTTGCTGCAGCATCGCAGGGGCTCTCACCTGCCCCTGTGCAAGTAGAGGAGATGCCGGGATGGGGACCCTCTGCGCTGCCCTCACCATGAGGCACCTTCAGGCCCTTGGCCATGGAGACAGGAGGAGGGAGGGCAGAGCCCTGCCACAGGCTTAGTGGCTGGCAGTGACTCCCGTTCCTGCAGCAAGGACTGGCCTCTGGATCCCCACACAGACACTGGGGTGGGCATCTGCTGCACCCCTTCTCCCCCAGCCCAGCCACCACCTCTCACAGGGACATCCAGGCTCCACATCATTTCCACAACGTGCATATTTATCGCTTTCCCCCCACAAAAACATGTATTTGAATTTACTCTTGGTAAACATAACCACAGGAGATGCAAATATGTGCTGGGGAAGCATAAATAACTCCACACAGATAGACACACAGACAGCAAACACAGACACGGTTCACCAAGGGAAACCAAGAAGTGCAGAGCACGCCCTGAGGCTGCCACCAGTCCCAATGGCTTTGCTCTCCTCCACCAAGTCAAGAGGATTTCTCCTGCTCTTATTTGCAGCAGCTGGTGGGAGAATAAAGCTGGGGAGGAGGAGTCTAAAGTTGCAATTATACCATGAAAGCATCATGGCAAGTCCTGGCTCTGCAGTTTCCTGCAATCGTTTCCAAGGAATGGTTCCAGTTGTAGGAAGTTGCAAGTCTTTCACAGTGTGAAAGGGTGGAGGGGCATGGGGACCACCATGAGGGAGGAGCAGCAGGTCATCTTGCAATGTCCCAATTGCAGCCAGCCGATAAACCTTCAAGTGGAAACACTGGGGCTAGATGCTCCATCTAGGTCCTCTTCTGCCCTCTCTAAGGTGCTGATTCTTCTTTAGCTGAGAATAATCTTCAACGGGACATCATGCGAACAAACTCTGCAACCAGCAAGAAAAGACAGCCCTGAAGCAGAAGGCATGCACAGTCCCCAGCCCAGCTCTCATTCCCTGGAGATAGCAAGCAGCCCGGGTGACACCCAGAGTCCACGCGCTGCCAGCAGGTCTGTGCTGCTCCGTGACTGGCCCTGGAGAGCTTGCACAAAATGGGCTTTCATCCTTCTTTTAGATATGATGATACGATCCCACTAGCAGGTCAATCCATTGCCTCAGACTCCCTCCCAGTCAGCATGCAGTCTCATCTGCACAAGCAACTCCTCGTGAGAGCTACGGCAGTTGTTATCTCCCTTCCCTGTAACTGCAGGGAACCTTGATTTATAGTCTTGGGAACAGAGTCTCCTTTCTTAGTCAGCTGGTGCTTCACAGATACACCAGTGTGGCAAAACACCGGCGTTTTGGTAGGCACCACCACAGAGAAAAGGTTACTTTGATGGACTTCCTGTTTTTGCAGACACAGGCTAAGTGTAAGGATGGCCTGAATCTCTTTCTTCACCACCCTGCAGCTTGTGAAGTCAATTACAATTGTTCAAATTGAGTGTAAATGCTATCAAATCTAAATGTGTTTTCATTCTGCACTTGAATTGCTGATAAACTAATAACTCTGCAAAGAGGAGGGCAGTGAAAATTACCGCCTTGACTTCTCCTTTTCCACTGATGGAGGTGTCCTTTGACAACTAAAGCAGTAACTCACAGAGAAAATGATACGGGGATAGCATTTCATGTATTTTAGCTGTCTAACATAATTTAGCTGTGGCAAACAGGAGAGCTACTGTCATGTAATCAGCCAGTGCATTAGAACTGCAGCTACCAGATACTTTTGAGGGAGCCACTTCTAGTATTTTTAGCATTTTCAACACCCTCAGAAGCTTCAGAAATCCTGAGGACTGAGACTCCTTGTCATGCAGGAGACCTTTTTTATGCCTCTGAGCCAAAAAGTGATGTCAATTTTACTTTAATTATGTGGTTCCTGTGCTTTGCCCTTACTGCAAAGGGACATCTGGATTTGCATTAGGAAAACAAGCAGCCTGCCACACTCTCACACCTTCCAGCTCTTATATCCGCTTAGCTGTCTGATATCAACTGCTTCCCTTGCCAGAAACCCTGAGCTCTATTAATATTGCTCCTGCCATGGCTAATGGCTAGGATAGTAGCCTAACCACTCTTAGTTTTGCCAAGTCCTTCTGGCATGAAAAGTGGGACAAGAAATGAATTATCTCTAGGATTTAAGATGACACCTCTAGATCAGATATCTGCAGTTCTAGTGAGCACATCTGGGCACATGACCATCTTCTGGCATAAAGGCAGAGAAACAAATCCTCCATAAACCCAGATAATAAGGTGAGCCACAGGAAATCGAAGGTGCAGTGCATTCTCCAAACCAATACAGCCTCCTCACATCTCTTGCAATAGATTTAATAGAAAGGAAAATGCTCCATGAAAAGAAGGCTGGCCCAGGATGTGTGCACCAGAATCTGCTTCTCTGTGACAGGCCATATCTCTTACCACGCTAGAGTTATGGAGACCCAATTGAAACTGAGGTGCAGCAAGAGATGATACACAAATGAACGCTTCTGCTGAGGAATTTCCCGTGTGGGCCAATGTTCTCCATTTTTCTCGTCTGACTAGGAAAAAAACCAGACTTCCTTGAGATTTTTCTCCATACCTCAGATACCCGGGCCCTGAGCATGCAGTCCCCTTCCACTTCCACCTCTGAGCTGAAACTCTGACTCGCACCAGAGCAGATGGACAGGGAGCGTTCATCCCTTCTCACCTTCAAAATCAACACGCCCATCTCCATTCAGATCCACGTCCCGGATGATCTCTTCAATATCCCGATGGCCCACCTGCTGCCCCAGGAGCTTCTTCATGGCTTCTCGCAGCTCACTGGTACTGATCTCCCCATCGCCATTGGTGTCAAACTGCAAGTACATGAAAAATACCAGCAGGGGAAATACAGTTAATGGAAATGGATCTTGCTCTGGGTTGGATTTTGTGTTGATCTGCTTCCGAGTGACCTATTTTTCCTGCATTAGTTTTGCGTCCCTCCTTTTTCTCCTTTGAGTGCCTGGATCCAGTCTGTCTTTTGTCCTCAGAAACTCCTCTTAACTCCTGTGTCTGCACCAGCTTTCCTCTTCCTTGCCTCAAGGGTTCCCTTATCTCAGTGACTTTCTCTGCTCCTCCCTTGTTTCATGCCTGGCTTGGCTCTTTCTCTGTCTTCCACTGTGCTGCTCTCTCCTCCTCCTCTTCCCTTCCCCAGTGGGTCTTCTCTCTTTCCTGTCTCCTGCTGCTCACCTCTCTGGGGGCCACGCGATAAGGAGCACTCACCTCTCTGAAGGCATCACGGAGCTCTTTTACACCAATCATGTCTGCAGTTTCTGCCAGCAGCTTTGGTCCCATCAGTTCAACAAAATCTTCAAAATCCACATGGCCACCCACTTGGGATAAGATGGAAGACTGTGTGTAAGAACTCCATAAACGTATGGACCCAAGCCCAGCACTCACTTTGCACTTTTCTGTGCCCCAGGGAGCAAACCACAGGAGGTGCAGGACAGTGCAAGGAAAAGCAGAGGTAGTTTTATACTTCCTATTTTATGGATTGTGGGCTAGGAGGAGTGAGCCCAAGCTATTCCATCCTAGGCTGCCATGGACTGTCACATCCTTATGGCATCATGTACCAGGTATTAGAGGCTCGATCACTCTAGAGCTTTTAGCAACCCTCTGCTGTGCCTATGACAGAGGGTATGGCAAGGGCACAGGATGGTGTTGCTGCATGGACTGGGCAGTGCCTTGAAGCAGTGGCAGAGTCTTGCTCCATTGGTGGTGGCTAATATATGTCCAACTGTTTATTCATCATATTAGCCCTTTTTCTTGTTTATCCCCTGTCTGAAAGCTGGCAGTAACACTCTCAAGTTCCTAAGCACTTGTGTGCCAGGGTTATCAGCTGCTTTTGTGTGTGACTGGCTGCGTATGTCACAACTGTTTTCCCTCCCTTGACCAAGTAACTTGTCCTTTTTACATCATCATGTGTCAGAAATTACATGCACTAAATATCCTTTTTCACACCTAGCTAAGGGTAATACCCTGCACTGTCACAGCAAGAGGTGACAAAAAATGCTGGTGAAAGACAAGGGGCACACAGTTACAGTGAATGGGACACGTTTATCACATTTTTCCATGACTCCAGCAGATGCTCCCATCTGACGCTGCCAGCACAGCTTGCTTGTAGCCCATCCCCAGGCACACAGCAGATCCATGAACACCAATGCAGAGCAAACAGCCCATCCATCACACATTCTGACCACAGCATCTCCACCTTCCCAGGCTCTTTCTTCAGTCTGACACCACCTGACACCAGCTTCAATATGACAACACCCACGACCTATGCACCGATGTCTGACTGCCCACACCAAGGGCAGTTTTATACCCTGACAGCATAAGCACGAAGGACAAGCCTTCCACGCACTGTTCCCAAACAGTACAGTCCACACATTCCCTTTGTCTGATAAGAAAGAAACAAAGGCATCAACTGCTAGGGACCACAAACAAACAGGAGAGATGATAGGGAGCAAAAATGAGAACCAAAAAGAGGAGAGGGAAAAAAAAAAAAACCACAAAGGAAAAGGGACAGCAGGAGACTGAGAGAGCCCAAGGCAGTGATGCAGGGCAGAGCAGCCAGAGGGAGGTACAGCTAGGTGGTCATTACTCACGGTTCATGTTGATCTGCTGAGAGAGCTCTATTAGCTCCATCTCAGTAGGCATGTAGCCCATGGTTCGCATGCAGTTCCCCAGATCCCTGCAGTTAATAAAGCCATCCTTGTCTTTATCAAACTCCTTAAAGGCTTCTCTTAATTCTGTGGGAGGGGATCCAAAAAAGAACAATATTGTCAGTGACAGCTTGAAATACCTTTTCCAAGAAACTTCCCCAGAATCAGCAGCACTTTATGGGGCCAGACTCCCCACGATACTCTGTATTTTCCCAGCAGGTCTCCCTGAAAAGAGGCAATGACTGGAGCAACGTTAAGCTCTTCTGTCAGCAGCACTGCTGACCCCTGGAAAGCTTGCTTGAACTACAAGTGCCATGAACAGATTGTTCTTAAACTGCACTCCCTGAAGAAACTGGAAGAAGTCAGTTTTCCCAATTGTTACCCCCTATATTATATAGCACTCACTGTAGGGATCAGCAGGTAAAACAGCTCCCCTGGAGCCATACTAGTGTATTATGCTCTATGACACTTTCTGTGGGAGCAGGGGTGGAAAGCAGTTTCCTGACAGCTAATACCCCCTTACTTTACTTATCTTCCCACCCTAAAGAAGCTGGAATGGATGCAAATTCCTTCACAGTCAGCACTTTCGCAGTTTTACATATTATCTCATTTTGCTGGGGTTGCCAGGAATAATCCCAATAATCACCTCCCTTGATTTACCCCAAATTATTTTACTCCACACCAGCCAACCTGGAAGGGCCAGCCAGTATTTTTTCACTGGGCAGGGAGAAAGGTGACACAGAAGGAGCGACAAATTTTACCTTCAATTTCTTCTGGACGCAGTTCTCTATCCTGCAAAAAGAGAACATACCATGTTAAAGCTTGCCACAAACATAGTTTCAGAGCAGCACTTGTTGGTGCAAACTGTTCTGGGACAAGCCAGACTGAGAGAAGAAACAAGAAGGTGATGACATGTTTAATACCGTCTACCTAGCAGGGCTTGCCAGCTCTCCTCCCCAACGGGAGGGGTGCTAGCCTGCACACTTCCCTGTGGAAGCCCATCTCCGTCTCATCTGCTGGACTAAGGGACAGCAGGTGCTCCCCCAGAAGAGAAGAGACCTGGGCCACCACAGCCATGTGTGTGGCCTCCCCACTTGATGGTACTATGAGCACCTTCATGAAGCTCCTACATCATTCCCCAGCACCAAACCCTGGGGCAGAGACTGGCCCTGCAGCAGCTATAATCTTCCTTAGAGCTCTGGCTGTATTTCCTACTGCAGCTCCCGCTGTAACAACCAGATGAAAACAGCTGGAAGCAGTCCCTGTAACCAGCAGGTCTATACCATCGTCTGCTTGGATCGCTGCTTGATCCCTGTCCTTCTGGCAGGTCAGGGACAGCCGCGAGCTCTCTTAGCCCCAACATCCCAGCGCCATCTCCTATTGTCAGTCCCCACACAAAGGTAGGAACTTCGCCCTTCCCCCCAGCCTCTACTCCATATACAAGCATTTTGAAACCAGGCATGATGGCAGACACACAACATATACATCATCAAGGTCATCTACAAACAAAACAGGACAAGGATTCACCATGTTCAGGAAACACTGCAACTTCAAACATCCAATTGAATTTCTTGGAAGAAGGGGGAGGATATATACAAGAGTATAGGAAAATTCCAACACTGCACCAGGAAGAAGAGATGAGCATGGAAATGCACTGCTTTCTGGTTTAAATGCCCTTTCTAATTCCTCTTATGGCTCCCAGGCAAATCCAGAACATCTGAAAATTTGGAGACACGGAAACACGATCTCTTTTGTCGTCTCACTCTCGGTTTTCCCTTCAACCATGGGAGTTTCTCCTTGCCTTCCAGCTGTCCTCCAGCTTCACCACACGTCCCTGGAGACTGTGCCCTTGATCAGTTTGAGAAGGATGATCTTTTGCTATTTAACCACAGGCTCCTCTGGAAACCAATGGCGGCTGCTCAGAGAGCATAGCAAACTAGGACACACACTGGCTTACGTCTGTGCAGAAGTGGGCTGTGCCAGAGAAACGACCAGCTTGCCACTCATAACCTTCCCAGAGGCATCTCTGTGCTGGATGGAACTACTGGAGCGCACTGGCTCTGCTGTTTCATCCTTCACAGACCTGGTATTTTCAAACATGTCATCCCATTTGTTCTGCTTTCATCAAGACCAAGTAATAAAACAATTCGAACTCCTCAGACCGGATGCAAGAGGCACTATTGCCCTCCTGCCGTAGATAAAACACCAGATGAAAAGCACCCACGGTCAGTACCAACACCTTGTGCACCCTATTCCAAAGTTCACAAGCATGAATCCCCGGAGATACTGCTGCATGCCGACAGCCAGCTCAGTGTGGCGGCAGATGCCAGGGTGCGACTGCCACTGCCACGGTGCAAAGGGTGCCGTGACTCAGCCACGGTAACCGCTGTCCTGTGAGAGCGGCTGGG